TGCTGGGGAATCACCTTCACAGCAGGGCAGGGGGTCGCAGGGCAGGGCCCACACCAGCCACATCCCTGCCCTTGGGTGGTCACAGCCCGGTGGGAGCCAATGCACTTTTTGGGGGACACAAAAGAACCCCACCACCTCAGTTTCTCACCTGAGTCCACCTGGCTATTCCTGTGTTGCTTCTCCACTGCTGTCAGGCCCACTGAGATCTGGAGAGCCTCAATTTTCTTAAAGCCTCTGCCTTTTTGTGCTTTTCTTTCTACTCGTGCTCTCTTTTCTTATCCCACCGGAGATAACACAGGGCAGAGGAGCCCCTGGGGCTCTGCCACCTACTCCCTCCCTTTATGTATTGTTAAGACTTCACTGTAGGCTTTGGTGGTGCTTCCATAAAATGATGCTCTGTGCTTCTTTGTGTCCTAAAGCAGAGGCGAGAAGAAAAAAAAAAAAGGGGGGGGGGGATATAAAACAACCAACCCCAAAAGGCAGAAAGCCACAATGATGGAGGTAGAGAGATGAAACAGGGCAGCAGGGAGGGGATGCAGGGTGGGTCCCCACGCCCCGGGACTTTGTGGGGCAGGGAGGGCTGGAGGTTGGGAGAAGGGGAGGGAAAGCCACCTCCCTGTGGGGACGGGTCTGCAGAGCCCCCAGGGCTGCACCCAGGGGTGCTGAGGGTGGGTGCAGCCAGCGCTGTTTCCCTGCTTGCCTAGGGACACAGGCTGGCTTGTGCAAAAGGTCCCAGTGTCCCAGTCCTGGGTTGCACAGTGAAATAAACCGACCCAAATTCACTCTTCCAGAGTTTGCAGTTATTGAGGGACAGCTAAAATTACCCCTCAAAATCCCCCAAAACCTTGGGTTCTGGTGAAGGGTTCTAGTTCCTCCCCACAAGCACCACACACCAGTGCCTTCCACATTCCACCTGGCCAAGGTGCACCCAATCTTACATCCAGGAGCAATTAAGTGAGCAACACAGCAATTATCACCCTCCCCACCCCTTGTGGTCCTTGGTCCATATGGCCCTATAGCAATCCATATAGCCCTATGGAGGAGGGAGAAATTACCATCTGGCATAGGCTCCCTAGCAAGATACTTCCCACTCTGGACTGTCCTCAGCCTGGCCACAGCTGCGTGAGGATGCTCTCCAGCCATTGCAAGGCAGCTTTTAAAGGGCAGATCTATCCCAGAGCTGCACGCTCAGCCTCTGTGAGCACCTTTCCCTGGGGTCCTGAGAGCTGGGGCTTTATATAGTTTGTGCCCTGAGGGGTTAAACGCTGGGAGATCTGGTCTGGAAAATGAAAGAAGGACTGTCTTTGGAAATTCCAGCCTGGTGGGTCTGGCTGCAGTGACCTTACGGGATGGTGGGTTAGAGAAGGAGGGAGGAAGGGTCTCCATCAGGGCAAAGCAGTTGGCAGCTCTGCTGGAGCAAACCAGCCGGTTGCAGGGAGCCAAAGCTGCTCCGTACAGGTGTCAGCTGCCTCCCCAGATCCCCCCTCCGGCCCCCCGGGAGCCCTCATAGGCTCAGCTGGAGGCACGGTGTGGGGACCGGGTGCTGTTTGGGAGGCTGGGCCCTCCCCTTGCTCAGGTGAGAGGAAGGAAGAGGTGAGGAGAGGAGGAGCTGAGGGTGAGCTGGTGTTACTGCCTGTAAAGAGCAGCCCTTGGGGGTTCTGGGCTGGTTGCCCCAAAGTTGAGGAGGTGCTGAGGTTCTGCGGCTGCCCAGGTAATGGGGAAGGTCCTGGGCAGTGATGGATGGGGAGCGTGGATGGGCAGGGTGGGCAGGGTGTGCTGCTCGTGGGGTGGCCTGGTTTGCTGCTGTCTAGGAGCAGAGCAGGCTGGTGTTAGCAAAATACGTAGCTTATTTTGGGAGGCTTTTTAGCTGGAGGGGTTGATGTGAGCAAAGGGAGTTATTTGGTCCCTTCGCCCTCTGCAAGAGCTGCGTGGTGAAGGGCTGTGATCCTGCTGTTTCGGGGGCTGATGGGTGGGGATGCTCCCTTCCTCTGTAGGGTTTACTTGTTGAATGTGGCTTGGTGTCCTTGGGATGGCTTTGAAAACCCTTTCTCCTGCCCTCTCCCCCTATTAATCTCTCTCCAGGGTGTAACTTATTCCTCATCTCCCTAAAGGACCTGCTCCATCCGTGGCGGGGCTGTGGGGAGAAGGCTGAGCCTCTTCTCTCTGTTCCCTGCCCTCCTCCAGCTGTGCTGGGTGAAGCCCACAGGGAGTTAAACCAAAAACCGAACCAAAGCCGTCCTCCTCCCGCTGCCCCAAGCAGTGTTGGGGCTGAGCGTGTCCCCAGCAAACCGCAGGTAGAAGTCTGGGGAGGGGGCAGCTGCCCC